CAACCCTACTTGAAAAGAACCCGTTCAAGTCCATAAGCTAGGCTTGGCACAGGGGGCTGATCCACCTTGATAGCTAAAAAGTATTAGCATTGATACTGGGCCATGGGGGTTAAACTTACGCAAGAGCTCCAAGTCTGAAGCAGTGGCCTTCTCAATAGGCGATTTTGGGAGGGGCTTGGGTTTTTGGGACTTTCCGAGGGCTGATTTAGGGGGAGCTCTAGCTTTTTTGACCCTTTCACTCGGTATATTTTGGAAAGAATCGAGGTCCGCGCCCTTGACTTTTCTGGAATTATTTCCCATTGCAGCTCGTAGAGAAATGAAGCTTGGAACATCAGACTTTTTGGCAAAGACCTTTGAGTCAGATGTCGGTACGCTCTCCTTAGCAGACGACAGGTGTTTTGTGGATTCCGGCCGGCGGACGTGATTTATCACAGAGGGTTCGATGGGTTGTTCGATAGGGGGTTCGATAGGGGCTTCCATAGACGAATTTAGGGGACTATTGCCGGCAACTTTTCTCTCGAGTGAGTCCTGGGAACACTTCAGTGATGGACTCGGTCAGAAGGGCGCTATTCCATACACGGTCTTTTGACAAATGATTCCCTCTTAATAACTTTTTGTGTAACATCTGTGCTTGCAAAAGATGGTTAGTCTTTGAGGCATCGGCTAAAATTTGAAGAATTACCCTTAATTGGTATAATGATCCAAGGGTTTCTTCAGGATTTGCCTTGAGATGTGCCAGAAGCTGGTCACTGTAAGACGAGATCATAGCTGCTGCCTTGTCGGGATCTACATCTGGTCTTTGTCCGCTCTTTTGACGCTTGTTTAGTGTCGTTACGACTGCTGCCTTTCGTTTGGTGTCTGTCGACGAGGGTTTGACCTTACGTGTCACTTTGACTTGCTTTTTTGGCTTTTTTGGGCCCTTGGAGGATTCTAAAATGTCCAGTATGTCGTCTACTTTCTGCGCAGTCGCCGTCTGCTCGCTTGGAACGCTGCCTTCGCTATCGTTGTCACTGGCTTCCTTGCCTTCCGCTCCTAGTGTCTTTTGGCCTTTTCTAGCAGATGCTTCGATAAGTGTCGACAGTTCTTCGGCTGTTTGAGGTTCCGTGAACGTTGTGATTTCCGCGACTTCAATCGGCGGTACTTCTTTTGGCTTGGCCTGTGATTGCTTCGTTTGCTTCGTTTGCTTCGATCGCTTCACAGCCTTCTTGCCAGGCGCCGCCTTCTTTGAGGTCCGCCTCCGCTCAGATCTCTCCGCTCGATTGGAGGACTTCTTCGGGCTTTGCCTGGTAGGTTCGGGCACCTCTTTATTCTCTGCTGTTGCATTCGAAGCTTGGCTGGCCTGCATTACAAGCATGTCTTTACGCCGCTGCGTTGCAAACTTTTGCTGAAGACTCCGCTGCAATACATCTGCACTGTCCTTCGGCTGGGGTGCTGTGGATGGTATATCCTCAGGAATATGGGGCGATTGCTATATATCAATCAGCCACAGTCACCATCAGCAGACCGAACGGATGGCTTGAGAAATGACTAATCTGCAACATGTACCTTGCTCTTCCCCAGAGGCTCAATTCTCGAGTCGCCCTTGTTTTCCTTGTCATTTGGATCTGACTTGAACATAAAACTCCGTATTATGTCTCCGATCCGCGATCCTGATGCGGCCTCGTCATACTTCCTTACATCATTTGGATTAGGATCTTGGGTTTTATCGGCGCCATCGTTCTCTGTAGGCCCCGTGTGTTGATATCTTGTTGTTCGTCCTCCAGCAAGTGATAAGTTCTGAAGGCGGCAGGATAGGCAGACATATTTTTGGTTCAGCGAAATAACACCTCTAGCAAGCTTAGCAGGCATTCAGAGGCTGGATTCGTTGTCGTGAGAAAGAGTGATGTTGCAGAAATGAACTACTACTTTACAATTGCAGAATTGCAGAGCAAAGCGCGTCTAAATATTCTTGACAGGGATCTCGATGCCGCAGCCATTGTATCGAGGTATCTAGTCCAAATAGGGTTAAACCTGGGATGACAGCCTTACGCCAACCTCTCATTCTCCGGCCAGATGCAACTCCATAGACTATTGTTCGTCATCCGCAACCATATCGTGAAGCGCATACGCATCGCATAAGTATTAAACTACGACTGTGATATTCTGCAAGCACTACGCCATGACAAGCTCCAGGCTTTTCCGCTTCCCAAAGCCCGAGTGGGTCAACAGCCCCAACACGCGGACGGCAGGTGTCTACCTGGCCGGCGCTTTGGTCAGTCTTCCTCTGTATACCATTTCTTCTTCAAGACGCCCTCTAACTTCACTCTTCTAGTTTTCCCTCGGATTCTTCTTCTTTATCGATGCTTCTACTTACTCCCACTCCTCCAAAAATGGTTCCAATGTCCATATAAAATTTGTCGATTGGATCCCGGGCATCTGCTCAGCGCTCGGGATGCTCGTTATCAATTCGATAGAAAAGACCCGCTTGAGCGCAGATAGCTATAGCTACTCTGGCACAGGAGTGGCATGGAAGGCAAGATTGGTCCTATTCTTGGGCTTTGCCTTGATGGCTGGTGGGTTGGCCGGCTCCGTGGTAAGTGGTTGTCATGTACGGAAGCGGTGTCTACCGTAAAGATGCTGATGCAGCTGTGCACAGGCTGTATTGGTTCTGAAGTATATCGTCCCCGATTACCCTTTCCCAACGCTGTACTTTGGTGTTGCCAATGTCGTTGCAAACGGGTTGATCATGCTGAGGTATATATACTATGAGCTTCCGCCTGGTGGCATTACTGACACCTCCCTAGCTCTGTGGTGCTTTGGGTTTCGCAAAACATGGAGGACGACTACACATACAATTTGGCCCTCTGATCGAGGAGTTTGGACTTGAATGTCTGTACAATAGTGGTTGGATCATTGGGCATTTGCGCACTCTGCCTCTACTGAGATGATGAAGCGGTTCAAAAACTAAGTATGGATCATATACGGCATTTGAGCGCTTCTGGAGACTGGATTTCAAGCCTTTCACGGTGACTAATCATTAGAGCTATAGAACGAGATTCCTCACGCGTCACTACACACCGCTTCTAGATCAGCCTCCGAAAGGGACACTCTGCGAGAAGCATTGAAGATGACCCGAAGCCGATCAAGGTGTAATCAAAGTCGACTCTCCCATCCCAGCATTCTTCTCCGCAGCAGTGAAAGCCTTATCCCAGTCCTCTAATCCAAACTTACCAACGATCCTGGATCCAGAGCTTTCACCAAGCTTCAGCACACCGTTTTCAACCATCTTGATCATACCTTTGATGTCTTCCCGCTCAAACATCCACTTGCCCTTTAACGTCAAATTCCTGTGTATAACCACTGAGTGCGGAATCGACACATCCTTGATGCCGCCCATCAAACTAACCCTGCCGCTATCTACACGTTCTCAGTGGTTAGCATCTCTCACCCCAAGTCAAAAGCTGGGAGATGCGACAAAAGTGTGTGATCAAGAGCGAACTTCCAACTAAAGGCTTGGTTCGAGGTTGCAAGTGGCGAATAAGGGATGTTAACTTACGTTTCAATGCCAGAATCCCACTCTTAATGTGCGTTGACTTTCCAGCCTCAGGCGGACTGATATCGAAAAATGCATCGACCGCCCCAAAGCTCTTCAGAGCCTCCGAATCTTTGAGTACGTCACCCGTAATCGGCACGATCTCAACCCTCTCGCACCTCTTCTTGATCTTCTTAAGCGTCTCCACATTCCTCCCCATCGCAATCACCCTCGCTCCCATGGCCAGCGCCACCAATACCGCCGCTCCGCCAAAAGCACCAGTCGCAGGGCTCACGATGACAGTCTCACCAGCTTTCAGATCGATGTCCCTTAAGCCGCCATATGGTACCAACAGTGCAGAGATATACGCCAGATCGGCGATCTCGTACCCCATTCTGCCACATAACTTTCCCTCGTCAAGGACCTCGCATGTCTCCAGTGGCACCTTGGCGTATTCCGCATAGGTACTATCCCTCCACTCTCCTCTCATCAACGTTTTACTCCCCTCGGAGTACCCTTCGTGGATTCCGCTCAAGAACACGGCAGTCGCATCATCTCGCCCACGAATAGTGCAGTCCACGAGGACCAACATTCCCGGCTTCAGCAGTGTCGCATCTGGCCCTACGGCTGCGACGCGTCCAATGGCGCTGGTGCCGGGGACGAGAGGCGTGGGGAAAGGGTACTGACGCTCACCATTGTAGATCTGGCGCATGTAGGATATCACGTTCGCGGCGAGGATGCGGACGACAGCGCTACCAGGGCCGGGTTGCGGCGTTGGTATCGTTTGGATGGCGGGCGGGGAGGACGTGGAGTTTAATATGAGAGCGCGATGGGCTTGGGGAAGGGTTTGGGTGGTCATCGTTGCTTGGATTGATTATTTGGAGGGTGGGATGGGTGTTTTTATGCTTGGGGCTGTGGAGATTGGGCTTTCGGGTTGGGATTGAAAACAAGGGGCGGTGATTCATATGAGCTTTCGTCGTGGTAATGGTCATGGTATGAGACGGTCTTATAACTATCTCCGACGGGATTCAATGGCTTGGTTGTATATGTAAGCAGGCACGGCAGGGAGGAGTTAACGGGAGGAGTTAACGGGAGGAGTTTTTCAGCTCCTTCGGCACCGTAAGGTCTCAGCAGAGTTATTGATCTTTTCGCATGATTTCTATCTCACAGTCGGAATTGCGTGTAGGAGGTCTAGCTAGGGAGGGTAATCTTCGTTCTATGACCTATAGTAAAGTAGACAAGTATGCCAAAGGTAGTGCAATCTCTGCCGAGCAATGTGCTTCCTTGGAATATCGAGAATATTAGCAGTGGAACCGCTCGGCCGCCAATTTTGTTCGGTATCCTGGAATTGGATTTATCCTCAACTGGTGCTTGCAATCTCGGTCTGCCGTTTCACTTCAAGATAATGTCCTTCTCCACTACCGCCAGCAATCCTCTGCCTTCTCCCCAAGCCAAGTCATCCGGTAACTTGTTCGACAAACTGACCTGACTATAGAATGAGGTGGTATTCGATGTCTTCAGCTGTGTTTTCAATGATTTCAACGACGTCCTTGCCGGATGTGTTCAGATATTCCAAAGCCGGGTCCAGAAATTCACCAAAGCCAGGGCCTGCTTTCTCCAGCATTTCACCCACAGTGCGGAAGCGCCACAATTGCCGCAGCGGCTGAGCGCATAGAACGATATTTCCATCCTCAATACGTTGTTGGCGGTAACGAACAATCCAACGTCGCTCCACTTCGACGCTTTGGACGTCAAGGAGCTGTTTGAGTGGACTGAGCATATGTCTTCTGGGGTCCAAGAGAAGCGCTCTCCAGGGATTGTTCATGATGCGAGGATGCGGGCTCTGGTTGTGCGCTTCGTACTTGGCACGCTGTGGCAAACAAGGGTCGTGTGTGACGCTGCCTGTTGTCAAACTCGGCAGTGACGCATTGCGCTGGTACGTAGGTGTTGCGCGGCTCTCGCACCCAAGCTTGATCCTGACATAGAAGGTGATGCCGCAACGATCCAACGGGTTGTTGGGTGTGTCTGGAATCAGTTTCTTTGCATGCAAGCTCACTTCCAATGCTATTGATCTCAAATCTGGAAAAACACAAGCCCGGTTCGCCACAAGACCATTGAATGCTGCCCTGAACAGCTCGCATTGTGCCGTTTCGTCCAGCTTATGAAAAGCAATGACGCTAGGATGCTGGGAAAGCTCGAAGAGATGGATGGCAACTGCGTCGTCCAACGCGACACTATCGGGAACAGTGAAGTCGCAGTAAGCCAGAGGAGATAGAGAAATTCGCATGTTGACGTGCTTGAAGTGCTTCATTGCCTTGGTTTGACGTATTCGGTCAAATAGCCTTTGCGTGTCCTGGACCGTGGCAGACGAGTGGGCTGGTGGAGTCTCTCTCAACCTTGCCCGGTGCAAGCTCCAAGAGTTGACCTCGTAGAAAACCTGTTTTCCTTCGTCACGGATCTGGTGGCATGTCCTGAGAAGGTTACGAGCTTTATAAATCTGCGACTGCCAGGTGGGTTCATTCGCCGTTCTCGTCAAGCTGGGACAGGACATGCATTTGAACTTGAGTTTGTGGTCTGAAATGGGGGTGTCCAGTTTCAGAACAAATCCGTAAATCTAGATACGTAAGCATATCGTCAGTGCATGGGCACGTACACAATTGGTTGCACTGAGTGTACACACCTTATCTCGGAGCTCTCTCGGCAGTAGCACTAGAAACTTGCAGGGATCTATGGGTGGCATCTCCATCAAGCCCTTATTTTCCTCGGGTTCTTCCCTACCAAGCTCACTTGTGGCCTCAGTCGGTGCATACAAAGATCCCTCATCCTTCTCGCTCTCCTCGTCATAGTCTTCCATGTCTTCATCAGAGTCTTGTACGTCATCCACCACATCTTCATCATCCTCCTCGGGCTTGTACTTGAGGGTCTCGCTGTTGGGTGGTATACTGTCATCTTGGCGGGGTGGACCGCCGCTGGTCTTGACGTTGGGTCTATATTAGCTTTAGTCTGAATGTAGTGGGATGAAGTGGTGAGTGTACCATGGCCTTTCGCGGACGCAATATCATGTTCAGTGTTGTCTTCGTCTTGGATCGTATATTTCTGTGTCTGGTGAGCTTTGCCCAAACCAACTTCAGCTTGGCATGTATGCTGTCAGGTCCATGCATCTGTCACAAGATCACTAGAAAGACTCCAGGATGTGCGGACACAACATATAGTTGAAAATGATGTTGTGACAATGGATACGAGGAACGGGGGTAATTCGCTGTGATTGTACACGAATTTGAGTGAAAAGGTACGAGGTGATGTGCTCATTCACTGTGCGCACCCGATTTAATCTTAGAGATTTTTGACAGTATTCTCATTGCTTGTAGTGGTAATGTGTGTCAAGCAATTCCGGCAACCTTTCCCTTGGTACGCACCGTTGATCGATTGGTGTTCCAAGGTAGATGTCTTCACCTGAGCCGGTAGGGAATCAGAGGTAAGCCCACCCGCGCTCGGGCGTCATCGGCATCGCAGCGATTGGTTCAGCATTGTGCGAACAGGTGACAAGAAGCCGCTCGTGCACTTGTGAAAGACTTCACACAACACCCATGAGGAATTGCGCTTCCCACGGTCAATGTGAGTATTCGAGTTGCTACACGCAAATCTGCGCAAGCGGATCGAAATGCAGTGGGTGGGGACGAAGACAATCGCCAGAACACGCCACAAATAAGCTTCAAATGTTTGTTTCTTTGACTCGAAACTTGGCAAACGTCCTGGAACTCTGAATGACAAAACACATGTCGTCGTGAAGCAGAGAAGCACTCTTGGAAACTCTGACGCTGGAGGAGGACACACAAAATGATCCACCATACCACTGCAATGCCATCACCCGGACAAAGCCGAGCAGCATTTGTTTAAAGCAATACCGACGTCGGACACCAGTGCAGATACGCTGCTTGCAGCGGGTAGCGACTGCAAATAGAACTCGACGTCTGGGGAATGCCAGAAAGCACTTTTCCCAATTGAAGAGCACACATTCCTCGCGGAGTCGCGGATATTTGGTCGTGGCTTCACGAAAGCAGCCGCCCAGGAAGGATTTCCACACAATCTGGAAACGACAGATATTTATTGCCTCTTAAGAACTCGAATCGAGGTGGCTAGGTGATTAGCCGAGTCCTTGCAGGCGGAGAAATTCGTATCGAGCTTGGATCCCTGTGGTTGAGATATGAATCCCTGCACCGCAATCGCCCGCTTGGGTCTTAGGTGAGCTGGTAGCTTGCCCTTGTATACAAATATGGAAGGTGATAAAGTACCGCTCGTCCAAGGATTCCCACGGGAAGCATTATGGATTGGCATTTGCTCCCACGCTACTTTAGCGTACTCAAAACCCTTTTCGTCTCTTGGCATGGGGTCCTGTCGCGCAACGCATCTATCTAAATTACTAACTCCATGAACGTAAGTCGGATTGTAAAGATTTCTATATATACAAATCAATTCCCTAACCGCTGTCTTACTAACGCTGCTGAAATGTCAAGAATCTATAAGAGAATGATTGACTTAAAGAGCCACGCAATCAATTCACGCAGCTCGAGGTTGAATTCCTTTATTTTGTCAACTTCTACAATCTGCTAGAATATCAGTTCAAGGCCAAAGGTTTTGTATACAAAGATTCTACTAGATGCTTTTAGGACACCAACGCAGTTTTTCTTTCTTTCACAATCTGACTTAACATCTGTAAAGCTGATTGGTATCTGGATCTGATGCGTCCCAGCCAAGAGACGAAAAGGGTTTTGAATACGCTTAACTCGATTAGTGGCAGATAAGAACCTTAAGGCACTTACCATGTACTGTAAGCGCTACCTTAGCTACCCGGCCCATTTCTCTTCGTACATAATCCCACGAGCTATGCTGTAAGGTACAGATACAGCACGAAGGCGAGGTCAGCAAATGCTTGAGAGCCAGCCTATCGGTGGTGTCCGTCCGGAAAAGTCTCGCCGGCATGAATAAAACCCAGAGCTCTTCCCCAGTCCTGGGTGGAGCTCTTCCTACTCAATCCACTTTTGGAGGCCTCATCCGTAGCTATCCCTCGGTATGCGTTCTATTTCCTGCACTAGCCAGCTTCTGGCTGCATTCGCAAGCCTAAGTCTGGCAGCGGCGAAGCCATTGTCTGTCCTCGAAGCTCGGGGTCACAGGCATATCAAGCCCAAGGTCTTCTTGATTGACATGTTTCCTCCCGAAGGCGCAGCATGGTACGGTATCCCAGAGTTCAATCTCCTTGCGAAGAACATTTCTGTGCCCGGCCTCTCGCCGCTCTACCCTGATGTGCACTGCACTGAAGAAGGGGATGTATGCCAGATCGTTACAGGGGAAGCTGGTATGTGATGAAGCTTTCCCCTTCGCCAAACCAAGGCTTACATGTTTGCAGAGATCAATGCCGCCAATAGCATGAACGCCCTGACTTTCTCCGGTCTGTTCGACTTCACCAAGACATATTTCATGATTGCAGGCATTGCTGGTGTCAGTCCCAAAGTAGCCACTTTGGGATCAGTCACCTTTGCCAAATATGCCGTCTCCGTGGAATTGCAATACGAATTCGATGCTAGAGAAATTCCAGCCAACTTCACAACAGGGTAGGTACACACTTGTTGTTGATCTCGGGGCGAGGACTAAGTACGGCAGATACGTCCCGCAAGGCAGTACGGATCCAATCGAGTATCCTCAAAGCATCTACGGCACTGAGGTCTTCGAAGTCAATGATAATCTACGCCAACTTGCCATTGGCTTCGCCAAAACTGCAGTTTTGAACGACTCTACCGCCGCAATGGCGTACCGGGCCAACTATGCATCAACGAGCGCTTACGAAGCTGGCAGTCGAGGGCCCAGCGTCGTGGGTTGCGATGCTGCTACATCAGACGTCTACTTCAGCGGTACGCTGCTGAGTGAAGCCTTCGAGAACACTACAAAGCTCTTCACCAATGGGAGTGGCGTGTACTGTACAACGGCACAAGAAGATACTGCTACACTCGAAGCTCTTCTGCGTGGAGCCATCGCCAATCTTACCGACTTCAGCCGTATCATTGTCATGCGCACGGCTTCAGACTTCGATCGTCCGTATGCTGGAGAGGTATGCACAATGTTTATTGCCTCGAAGAAGTAATGCTGACTCTGAATCTCCATAGTCTGATACCTTCAACCTCTTCTACGCTAATCAAGGTGGATTTGAGCCGGCAATAGACAATATCTATCTGGCGGGTATCAAAGTGGTGGAGGGGATCTTGAATGAGTGGGAAAGTACTTTTGCGAAGGGGATCCCTGCTACCAATTATATTGGTGACATATTCGGCAGTTTGGGAGGTATGCCTGATTTTGGTCCTGGATCTATGTTTAATGATAATCCGGTCAAAAAGAGGAGTCCAAAGGGAAGGAACGCGGCGAGAGGATACGCATAAACCCGGACTGAGTTTTGCCGAAAACCCGAAGTTGTCTGCGAGCATAAGGAATGGAGATTTCAATGATTGGGTAACTGCATAGACATATGTAGTCACTATACTATTTGACATTCATGGATCCAAATGCGTTTCATCTGCATCAGCCCAAGCCGGCCCCGGATGATTTCTAACATATTGGATGCCCTAGAGACTTAGATGCCTGCACCGGGACCAGCCCCTCAATCTTCACGATCTCATAGGTGGTTGAAGCGCCAATGACCATACCGACCGGACTGAACTCACAAGTCTTCCGCTTTTAAGATAGGAGTAGACCTGTCTTGGGTTCCCTCAGAGGTACCTGTAGCTTACCAGTCATCGCTATTCAGTACATCCGGAAAACCGTGTCCTCTGGGGCATGAATGAAATGTTGGTCAATCGCGTATTCATGGAGACGCTAGCTCACAGCTGCGACTAGCGCGCTTTTGTATCTTATCTTAGCTCCATCTCTCAGAATTTCGCATCTTCGAACTGCCTAGGACGGATCGACGCACCTACGGTAGTACACATCGAGTGATAAATCATGGCGCCTACCAGGACAGTCAAGTCCAAGTCTTTTCCTAAGGATGGTAAAAGTCCCAAGGGTTCAGGAAAGCCCCGTGCCCTTGGTGCAAATACGAAGAGCAAAGTCTCGAAGAAACCCAAGGCTCCACCACCCAAGCAGCAAAAGACCAAGTCAGCTGCACCGGTCAAGAAGAAGAAACGTGTGTATACGGAGAAGGAACTGGGACTACTAAAGTTGAATATGGTCACCCCGGTTGGTGTAGAGTTGCCAAAAGGGAAAAGGAAGGGCAAGGTGTTCGTTGATGACCAGGTAGGGCTACAATACTTTGCGCTGTCTCAATATATCGATAGTTGACTCACTCGGCTCCCCAGGAGAGCATGATGACTATACTCGCGATTGTCACCGCGGACAAGGAGGGCCAGATCGAGAGCAAAATGATGAAGTCTCGCCAAATGGAGGATATTCGTGAAGCAAGGCGCAAGGAGGCGGAGGCGAGACATGAGCAGAGAAAATCGAAAATGGTATGGTTTTCATCGAAGTAGTAAACAAAAAGCAGGGATTTACGATGTTGTAGGAGGAGACCAAGGACTCGATGCGCAAGAAGAGGAAAAGGAAGCCAAACGTTCGCGTCGACACGGACCCTTTAGAGAGCAGCTCGAAATCCTCGAAGGGCGCCAAAGCCAGTGGAAAGAGGGTTTCATTTGCTTGAAGGTCATCTCTTGAGATTCCACATTACTTTATGGCTCTACATCTATCTGGAGCTTTCGACGCATTGGATTGAACGAAGCAAGAGCTTTACCACCTAGACCGATACCGTTCCCGGCCTTCTCTCCAGGCTTCTTCTCAAGCTTGTCCAGATCGATGTTTTCGAAAAATTGTATGAGAAATTGGCTCGCCTGGTACCGAAGTCAACGGCAACTCCCCTGGCGCCAAAGGAGTCAGCTTACAGGCTTAGCGAACCATCTCCCACCACCATTTTCGAACCAGCTAAGATGCCCACCAAGCGAAGTAGTGCACAACACTCCGAAAGGACTCTGCTGGAATTCGCGGAACGGGATTGCTTCCTTTACGGCTATCTGTGGCTTATTAGTGT